ACCCTGTTTCCCCCCTCCTATTCTAGAATACTTTGAGCTGTTGTGGGTTTTGCCTGCTTCACAGGTGAATGCAGCACCCTTTTGGGAAGGGACAATTAATCAAGATGGAGGAGTGTATTTCCTTTACCCCCAGTCTCTTCGCTTCAGAACCCTTCAAAGCTTGCAGCATCCTGAACTGACAGATGGAAATTAGGGTCAAGAGATGCATGTTTGTGATGTTTCCTTAAGCTCTTCCTCGATGATAGATGCCTACACCTTTAACACTGTGGGTGTTAAGTGCTGTCCAGTCACTTCTGACTTATGGTGACGCTATAAATTAATGTCCTCCAAAAGGTCCTATCCTTACCAACCGTGCTAAGTCTTGCAAAGTGAGGCCCCTGGCTTCCTTGATGGAGTCAATCCACCTCATATTGGGTCTTTCTCTTTTCCTGCTGCCTTACGTAAGAACATCAGAGAAGCCAATGTTGGATCAGGCCAGTGGCCCATCCAGTCCCACACAGTGGCCATAAATACCAGGTGCCATCAGGAGGTCCAGCAGTGGGGCCAGGACACTAGAAGCCCTCCCACTCTTCCCCCCCCCAATTTTTCCTAGCATTATTGTCTTTTCCAATGACCCTTGTCTTCTCATAACATGACCAAAGTACGTAGTTTGGGCATTTTAGTTTCTAGGGAGAGTTCAGGCTTTAAAACAGCAGGATGTTTTGTTTCCAACATTCCCTTTGAGCAAACTGCTTTTGTTGTAAAGGCGTCCTTGCCTGGCCTTGGCAGTCTGGATGCTCCCTCCTTTGTCTGCTCTCGTGGGTTTTCCCTCCAAAAAGTCACAAAGCTTCCTCGGGAGATGTCACCACACATTAAGCACATTTCCCTCACCTGGGATATGCTAAGCTACTGGGTGGTTATAGATAAGGAAAAGGCAGAACGGGGATTGCCCTCTCTCATTTTTCCTTGTTTTTTTCTCAGCTAAACCTTGAGCATCTACAGTTTGGTGTAGTGGTTAAGTGTGTGGACTCTAATGTAGGAGAACTGGGTTTGATTCCCCACTCCTCTACTTGCACCTGCTGGATGACCTCGGGCAAGGCGTAGTTCTGACAAGAGCTGTCCTTGAAAAAGAGCAGTTTTCTGTCAGAGCTCTCTCAGCCCCGCCTACCTCACAGGGTGTCTGTTGTGGGGAGGGGAAGGGAAAGGAGTTTGTAAGCCTCTCTGAGACTCCTTTGGGTAGTGAAGGGCGGGGTATAAATCCAATCTCTTCTTCTTCTTCTACAATATTCCCTGACTCCTGGAGAGCAATGAATATATCCAGTTCTTCCCTCCCCACTTTAGTTTTCAGTTCTTCTTTTCAAATATAGAAACTTATTTTTCCGTTTGCTGATTCGTCTCCAAGCACGAAGAAACCCCACCTCATCTCGGGGTGGCCTTGTTTCATGGCCCTACAGATGGGATGTGGGACCGACACATTTGCTATTAGAACGAGGGCCCAAATGGTTACGGCGGTCTCACCAGCTTGTGCAATTTTTCAGCAACGATCAACATTTGGCAGCAACAGCAATGGGTACCTTGGTGGTGGTGGAAAGTGCCCTCAAGTCACAGCCGACAGGGTTTTCAAGGCATGAGATGGTGGTTTGCCATCGTCTGCCTCTGTGTAGCAACCTGGACTTCCTTGGTGGTCTCCCATCCAAGAATTAGGGCTGACCCTGCTTAGCTTCTGAGACCTGACAAGATCAGGCTAGCCCGGGCCACCTTATGAGCACCTTAGACTGAACAAGATGAATGAATGAAAATTTTCAAAACCTGCTCATGCATCAAAAAGCAGGGTAGGTTGTGCCTTATCTTGTTCCAGGAAGGTGATAAACACAGAGCAGGCACAAATGTTGCCTTGCCTTCCCACCTTGGGAAAGTTGATTTGTGAGGTTTCAGGGCCTGTGTGGACCAGAAGCTGTTCAGGTTGGGGAAACTGTGCAGAAGGGGAATGTTAAGTCCTGAGCTTAACAAAGAGTCAGCGAGTGATTTCAGCCAAAACTCAAGTTTATTCTTCTTCACGATCACTTCTCCAACACGGTACAACATCTGATAGCCCGAACAGTTTGCCCATTGAAACTGCTCGGTATTTAAACATTCCCGGCTAATATAGCCACTCCTACTTTACAGATAACAACCTATCAGGTTGATCGCATAAGGACCAATCACACACGTTCCCGCTTCCAGCTTGCTTGCATGTGATTGGACGCATTTGTCTCGGGCTTGAATCCCTGTCCAAGACGAAGCTTTACATTGCTTCCCAATGAGATGTTTCACGTTACATCTAATGCATTCATGGCAGCATCTGAATACATTACAGGGAAAAGGTGGAATCTCCTCTTTCCTCAGTGCAGGTCCACTAACGGAAGAAGCAGGAAGGACCATTTCATCCCCATCCCTCTCCACACCACAGGTTCCTGATCCTGACCTATGCGGCTATCAGTTCACGTGGTTCCCAGGACTCCAGGAAACCTACTTGTAGTGCCACTGCCCAGCAGTTAGCACCAGACCTCAAACACTCCTTTGCCTACCTGGCAGGAGGCTGACTAGTTTTAACAAAATCAGGAGTCGAGTTCCTCTTGCTCCTAAACCACAGTATGCTGCCACCAGACCTGCTTCGTCCAGGAATGCAAGGCTCAGGTCAACCCTGCTTCCTTTAGGACTTTGAGCAGAAATCCAAACCTTCTCCAGAGTCAGGAGCTCCACACGCATGGATCAGGGCTATTTTGGGGCAGGAACGCACAGGAATGGAGTTCCGGCTGGCTCCAGAGTTGGTCACGCCCACTACAGCCAAAACCTCTGCACGTGCGTGGCTAGAAGCCCGGAGGGCCGCACCCCCCCCCCCCCCCCCAGTGACTCTGAGGTGAGTGGACCGGGGGAGCCTGGAAGGATCGGGGAGGCATTTAAATGCCTCCCTGTGCCTTCCTCGGCCTGTCCAAGGGCCAGCTTGCCCGGCACCCCACAGCCGCAGGGAAGCCCGGGTGCCCCACAGCCGCAAGGGAAGGCATGGGGGTGTGGCCTAATATGCTAATAGGTTTCTGCTGTTAGGTGTGGCCTATTATGCTAATGAGTTCCTGCTGGGCTTTTTCTACAAAAAAAGCCCTGCGTATTATATTGGTAGGGCCAAAAAGGCAACTAGAAAAGCCTTCTGCAAACCCCAGACAAAACACACCAAACAGGTATGTAACAAAAAGTTTTATTTATGGTGCAAAGCAATACCCACACACTATATGGCCAGAAAATAAAAAAAAGTTTTTTCATATCTCTAGCTAAGTTACCTTGGGTATTACAGCACCTGTTATCCACAGCAAGTCTTGATGCACAAAGCGCAGTCTGCTTACATTGCAGCACACAAAACAAATCTCAGGGCAGACCACAAATCTCAGTTCCTCCAGCAGAGGTTCAGGGTTTCCCCCAATGGAAAAACAATAGCACCCTGTAGCATACCCAGCTAAGGGTCTACAGTTAGACGAAGAAGACAGGGAGAGACTTCATTCTAGTTGGTCTTCCGACCCCGCTACATTCATCATTTCTGACGCCCGATCTCCTACGCTTGACCCGGTTAGCTTCACTTGTACCATTCGGGCTCTTGGCTGGACGAACCACTGGAGCAAGGGGGAGCCTCGATTCTCTGGCATTCAGCCATCGAAGAGGCTACCCCCTCAAAGCTCCTTGGCCAGGGTCCCTTCGCCGGGACCCTGTGGGGGTTAACGAGCCTGCTCACCCCATCCCTCCGCCAGAGCACGGAGACACCCCCGGGAGGTCCAGGAGGTGAGTCCGTGAGCGTGCCGCCATCAACCGGAAGTCGAGAGACTTCATTCTTAACCATTTCTGGGAACCTGACCATAGGCACTAATCGGACCTTGCAACCAGATTTACCTGACCCCAATACCGGTCAGGGAGTTTGACATATGTAAATGAAGTATGGGACAGATGTAATTGAAGGTGGAACTGACTGAGATCCACAGGCTCGGCTGTTGCATGGGAACCCCAACAAGCCTCTGCTGTCCAAGCCCATTCCAACTGGAAAACAAATCCTCACAGAGTCAGTGCTAGGCAACCAAAAGCTAATGGTTTACAGGTGGCCTGATCAACACTCTTCAGGCTCAAGAACACAAAACCAAACACTGGGCTTCTGCGAGGAACTACATACAAATGAACAACTAAAAAAATAAAATAGCCCACCTGTTACTACACTAAAAGGAGCTGCGGTGGCTCAAGTGGTTAAGATGCTGAACTGCAGGCTGTGGAAGGTCGGTAGTTCAGCAGTTCGAGACCCGGGTGCCGCATGACGGCGTGAGCTCCCGTCTCTAGTTCCAGCTCCTGCCAACCTAGCAGTTCGAAAGCAAGAAATTGCAAGTAGATGAATAGTGGGAAGGTAACAGCGTTCCGTGCGCCTTGGCGTTTAGTCATGCCGGCCACATGACCACGGAAACGTCTTCGGACAGCGCTGGCTCTTCGGCTTTGAAACGGAGATGAGCACCGCAACCCTAGAGTCGGATTCGACTGGCCTTCGAGCAAGGGAACCTGTACCTTTACTACACTACTTTCCTGGTACTGGGTGGGACTGCTGGGTGGAGGGAAAGATCCACAGTTATCAGCCCCTTCCACTGACAAGGCTGCCGGATCCCACCCACATTCTGCCGACCTGGATTGGCCCACGCTAGCCCAGTCTCACCAGATCTCGGAAGCTAAGCAGGGGCAGCTACGGTTAGTCCTTGGATGGGAGACCACTAAGGAGGTCCAGGGTTGCTACAGCAGAGGCGGACGAAGGCAAACCACCTCTGTTCTTCTCTTACCTTCAAAACCCTACAGTGTTGCCGTAAGTCAGCTGCAATTTGATGGTACTTTCCACTACCAGAGACATTCTAGTGAGGGTATGGCCACTGGCCACTGTGAACTAGTCCATCCTATATGAGAGAAGTTGCCGCACTGATGCAAAGCACGGGAGAGGTGGAGCAACAGTGGCATTGCCTTCAGCTCCCGGGACAATTGACACTCTTCCGGCTTCCCTCTCTTCCAGGCATACATTCTCCTGGGCCAGTTCCTGCTCCTGAAGAAGGAATGCGCCCTGTTCCAAAAATGGCTGAAGTCCTCTTACGGAGCCAGCAGCTTCCAGGCCGAGCAGTGCGCTCTCTGTCTCTTGGAGTGGTGTTACGCGTTCCTTTAAGCGGCGCTTGGATATGGGGTCGGCTCTTTTAAAAAAGTTATCGCCACGGCCGGGAATAAACAGTTTCACGCAATAGCCTTGGTATTTCTGAATCAAACATTTTGTCTCCCAGACTGCAAATTATTAGTGATTTATACAGTACTCTGACTTCCCAAGTACTTTGTTCATTATTATTTTATGTAGCACCTTCATTGTACAGCGCTGTGCAGAATGAGGGACACATGATGAGGTGAGATGCTGGGAGATCCCAGCTGGGGCCACACATCTCCTGAGCTCCCCCCCCCCCAAATAACAGTCTTAAACCGGGGCCATAACAGAGGGGAAGATTAACCCCTTCCTCCCCCACACCGTTTTCCTGACCTTGTGGTTATGTTTCCACCAGGAGGATGGAGTGATGGTTAGGATGATAAATACAGTCTGAGGGGACAGGATTAACATTCCTGTTCTCATCCCAGAACCCTAGACTGTACTGGAAGTCCCCAAGGCAGCTATTTGTCAATACAAAATTATTCAGACATCTGTTTATGGATCTCCCAGCATCTTGTCCACGTGGGCCTTTAGACGTGCTCTCTGTTATACAAACGGTTCGTTTCAGCTTGAGGTTTAAGAGGTTATGTTAAAAGCTTCACAGGAAAGGGTTTTGCGGGTTTTTTTTTTTTTTAAGGTGAGGTTTGTTCTCTTTCGTCAGTCTTTGCAGTCATCCCAACTTTGTGGTACATGGTCTCCGGTCAAATGCTCCACTACCTTTTTAAGGGCCATTAGTGTGTTGTGGGAGACATGGGGTGTCTCTTGCTGTTTTAAAACTTTTCTTGTGATTCTGGTAGGTTCCAAATTGCAAAAAACCACTCTGACATTGATCAGCTGTCTTTATTTGGAAATGTGGCTATTTTACAACTGACCTAGAATGAGCAGTCTGCAATACTCAGAAGAACAATTTTCATTTTAACTGCCTCTGTTTAATTTCAGTAATGTCAACAAGATAAAATTTTTAAAGAGCTTGGGCCAAGGTATCAGGCATTGGAGTGCCATACATGGTCCCACCTCTCCACATTTTATCTTTCCAACAATGCTGTGAGGTACGGCAGGCCAAGACTGTCCCAAGGTGTGTTTCCTTTCGTTTTATCCAGTAAAAGCTCAATATTTATTTTGATTTTCCTCTGCCTTTCCTCCAAAGAAGTTGCAAACAGTCATACTGACCCACACAAAATCCAGAACTGTATCTTTTATTGGGGACAAACCAGATGTTACTGTAATGTGCTTTCTAAAATACTTTCTCTTGGATACACCCTGGAAATTTCAGCTCGTGCACAGTGTGGCTGCCTGCCTGCCTCTTAATGTAAATAGAACACTCTTGAAATAATCACTCTGTTAACATTTTGTTCCCAAGTCTCAATTTAAGATAGTAAAAAGCCCAGTAGCACAAGACTAACAAACTTTATTGTAGCATAAACTTTTGAGAAACACAGCTCTCTTCATCAGATGTATCTCCCATCTGATGAAGAGAGCTGTATTTCTCAAAAGCTTATGCTACAGTAAAGCTTGTTAGTCTTAAAGATGCTACTGGGTTTTTACTAGTATTTTGCAGCAACAAACTAACACGGCTAACTCCTCTGGATCTATGACAATTTAAGATGCTGGTTCCAACCTATAAAGCCCTTCTCCACTTGGACAACCCAAGGAGCAGAAGCACCACCATTCCTGTTATCAACTCAGGCGCCAGCTTAAGTCCTCCCAACGGTGGCTTTGAGCAGTGTCTTCATTTTGAAGAGCAGAGTCCTCTGTAGCTTGATCTTGCTCGCGATGGCTCCTACGGTGTAGAATAGTCTTCTTGAGGAGGTCCACGAGGCACCATCCTTACCATCTGCAAGTTGCATTAAGACCGTTTGTTCTTGCAAGGCATTTCCAGAATAAAGAGAGAGCCAGTTTGGTGTAGTGGTTAAAAGTGGCAAACTCTAATCTGGAGAACCAGGTTCGATTCCCCACCCTTCCACTTGAAGCCAGCTGGGTGACCTTGGGTCAGTCACGGTTCTCTCAGCCCCAAAAATAAACCTAGCTCGCCACAAAAAAAAAGAGCTAGTTTCAGGCTGCCAGACAATCTTTGGATCTCCTGGCTATACCCACTTTCATACGATAATTAATTTCCAGAATGAGGAGTTGGTCAGATTTTATGGCTGTTTGCTGCCTCACCGATGGGTCGTTTGAGTCTGTTTTAAGCTCTGTTTTTTGTATTGTAAGCTGGGGGGGGGTATAAACATTTTCAATACATTAGGATAACTAGATTTTAAGCATGGTTTGGGTTCTTCATATCTCCTAATCTAATCAAAAGGGTTGTGTGTGTTCACATTTCTATGCTTCCTTAACAAAATAACAAGGACATCAGCATTACAATATGAATATTTTTTAGCAAATGCAAGTAAAGGGTAGTTGAAAAATTGGTCATAATTCCTCAATTCCAGGTAGGAAACCCCTTAACTACTTCAAATTACCTGGAGAAATGATACCCTTTTCTGGAAAAACACTGTTTTGATCGAGAAAACCCGAATTCTTTTGAAAATAACAGAAATAGTAAATGTATAACCCTGTTTTAATAAAAGCGATCATATAAGCGTTCTCTCAGCCCCAAAAATAAACCTAGCTCGCCACAAAAAAAAAGAGCTAGTTTCAGGCTGCCAGACAATCTTTGGATCTCCTGGCTATACCCACTTTCATACGATAATTAATTTCCAGAATGAGGAGTTGGTCAGATTTTATGGCTGTTTGCTGCCTCACCGATGGGTCGTTTGAGTCTGTTTTAAGCTCTGTTTTTTGTATTGTAAGCTGGGGGGGGGTATAAACATTTTCAATACATTAGGATAACTAGATTTTAAGCATGGTTTGGGTTCTTCATATCTCCTAATCTAATCAAAAGGGTTGTGTGTGTTCACATTTCTATGCTTCCTTAACAAAATAACAAGGACATCAGCATTACAATATGAATATTTTTTAGCAAATGCAAGTAAAGGGTAGTTGAAAAATTGGTCATAATTCCTCAATTCCAGGTAGGAAACCCCTTAACTACTTCAAATTACCTGGAGAAATGGTACCCTTTTCTGGAAAAACACTGTTTTAATCGAGAAAGCCCGAATTCTTTTGAAAATAACAGAAATAGTAAATTTATAATCCTGTTTTAATAAAAGCAATCATATTGCAGATAACTATATATTGACAAAACTCAGTGTTATATTGTGAATGTTGGTTGTCTGTTTTATTATTATTTTATTGTATTTGTTGAAAAGATTAATTTAAAATTTTGGGGGGGAAATTAGTCAATTCAATAACAGATGTTGAGTCCAGTAGCACCTTTAAGACCAACAAAGTTTTATTCTGGACATAAGCTACTTTGTTGGTCTTAAAGGTGCCACTGGACTCAAACTTTGTTCTGCCGCTTCAGGCAAACACGGCTACCCCACCTGAATCTATCAACTTAATAATGTTCAACCTCTACTCAAAGCTCTTCATTAGGATGGATGTTAAAAACCAGAAAAGGGCATGTTTTGGTCCTGAAGCCTTTTGTCTGCTCCCATTTGGGCAGCACTGCGGACTTGGGAAGGGTTGGGCCACAGTTGAAATTTGTGTCAGGCACCCGTGGCCTCGTGGGAAGAAGGCAAGAAAAAGATGACACAAAAGGTCCATATTTAGGCTACAAGAATCAGACGCACAGACACAGAATTTGGTAATACATGGATCTGCCACAGTATACGGCAAAAGGATTTCAAAAGCCTGCAGTGAAATATGGGTCAGCTGAGCAGTGTGACGTGACTAGGGGGGAAAAACCCCACCCAGATCATGGGAAGCAATTTCCACTCTATTAGGTGTTAGTCAAGCGTCATCTGGAGTACTGAGTGTAGGTCTGGGGCACCAAGACGGGGAGGGCTTCTGGAGTTCTGGCCCCACAAGACTCTAATTTGGAGAACCAGGTTTGATTCCCCACTTCTTCACATGCAGGAACGAGGGTGTCTTTGGAATACGTCCTTTATCCCAAGTCTGCAGCGCATGTGGAAGAGTGGGGAATCAAACCTGGTTCTCCCTGATTAGAGTCCACACTCCTAACCACGACACCAAACTAACCACTATACCAAACTAGGAGTGAAACTCCCTGCCTGGATACTTCCTTGTGGGTAAAGGAAGTATTCCAAAGACACCCTCGTTCCTTATCCAAAGGGCACAGAATTTAGAAGTGATGCTCCGGAACTTCTCACGGGCTGGAAAAGGAGACTTCAATGACTTCGTTCAGCACCTGACAAATTATTTATTTAATTTATACTCTACCTTTTCTCCCCAATGGGGACCCAGAATAGATTACACCATTCCTTTATTTTCTCCTCACAACAACCTTGTGAGGTAGGTTAGGCTGAGAGAGCGTGACTGGCCTGAGATCACCCAGTGAGCTCTCATAGCACAAGTCAGGATTCGAACCTCCAGGTGGGAACTGGGAGATTCCCCCAGACTTACAGCTCATCTCCAGACTACAGAGGACAACTCTTTAAAGTTGCTTCTGTTACATGGAGTTTCACGAAGGCAGCCGTCAGTCCAGCGTTACCACTCTCCAGCAATGCTCCCTCTAAGCTGTGGAGTCTTGTGAGCAGGGCTGGCTCACCCACTAGGCGAACTAGGCATTCGCCTAGAGTGCTGGGCCCTGGATGGGGCGCCAAGCTGTGCCCCCCCCCGCCAAAAGCCCGCAAGCAGCTCTCCGAGTGTCAGCACTTCGCTAATTGGGGAGAGGCATCCGGTGAGCATCCCATGCCTGGAGACAGGATCCCCCCCCCCCCCCCTCCC